TTGGATCAGCTAGTCATTAATAAACATTCATTCATAACTTGCTCTAAGTTTGACTTTTAGTTCTGTTGATCTGAATGAGATGTCGCACCGGTATAAATTAATCTGTGAATTAACAGTTAAACTATTTTTCATGAACATTTTGTTATATACAAAGCTGGGCAAAATACGTTCAAAATGTATTTAAAATACAAATTACAATATACTAGTACGAAAGTATTTTAACATACATTCTTAAAAATAAAATACTTCTTTAGCAAAGTATTTTAAATATAAATTACTTAGTATTTAAAATAGTATTTTAAGTATGTTGAATATTAAATATATTGAAAATATTCATTAACAGTATTTACAATATTTTGTGAAATATTAAATCTGAAACTCTTTAGATGTGACTTAAAAAATAAGTATATTGTAAGTGCAAGGCAAGCCTGATTTCAAGATCATCAAAAAATGAAAAAAAAACCGAGACTTGAATCTTGAAACAATCATTTTCGTTTGGATTACCGAGATGCAGAATATTTCATTCACTCATAATTTCTTATTAGTTTTTCTTATAATAGCCAACTTTTGATAAAAGGAATTAATTGCAGGTGCGTAATTTTTATGTATCTGTTTTTGGTAGGTATTTTGTGTATTTAAATTACTTTTAAAAGGTTTTAAATACTTTTTAAAATACAAAATACTTTATTAAAGTATTTGAAGTACAAAATATTTTTGGGGTTATAACAAAAATATTTTAATTACAAAATACTATTTTATATTTAAAATACTATTTGATATATTTTTTTTTGTTTAAATACTCTCAGCTCTGGTTACATATTAAGTTTAAAAATAATATACCAAATTTGTTTCTCAATTGGTGCGTAATAATTTTATTTTACGAGATGTCATTTAAAAAGTAAAATCAAAGCTAATAATGCTAATATATTTAAAATTTTATTAATACCGTCTTATTATTTTATGAAAAATGCAAGATTTGTGCTGTTAATAAAGGTTATTCTGCACTTTTCAGTTATATGTGAAACAAACTACATATATCTATTCTCTGAGAAATTATAATAGACCCATAAAACAGTCTATTCTTTTTTAATAGGTTGACTTGTTCAAGGTCATATTTCTCTGTACCCCCTTTCATAGTATCTATATTAGTAGGTCACTCTCTGCTAGTGAGTAGAAAGCATTGTTTTGTACCAGTAGGCACTGAGTGGCAATGACATTTAATATATGACATATTCTTTGTAGGTTATATCTCACCTATACTAATATTTAACAATTTTTATGCACAATTTACTTATTAACTTATAGATAATTAAACAAAAATAATCGATGCAACACTAAATAAATTATACATACCAAGTGCCATAAAGCTGCTGCCAAGTTACTAGCAGCTTCTATTAAGTCGACAGTTTTCATGATTCCACGATTTGCCTGTAAATATTGATCTAAGGGACCCAGTCGGAAATATTCCAAAACCATGGAAATACTGCTGGTAAAAGCTATTCCGTAAAGTCTAACTATTGCACTAGACTGCAGAAAGGCCCATTGTCCAGCAAGTGTTAGAAACTCCTACAAAGGCAATTTCGTTTTCAAGAAAATTGTATTGTTTTTTTTTGCAAAAACTTTTAGTTTAAAAAATCAAATTGAGATTATTTACGAATATTAAAATAATACATTATACTTCCCGAATACCTTTAAATAATTATCGGGATTTTCTTGCTTCAACATCTTCATGGCCACCTCAATTTTCTTTCCTTTAGTGACCTTCCACATACTCCTAAAAACCACCGTTTTACCGCCAAAACCTTCTTTTCTCTGCCCTAGAAAGAAATAAAATAAGATATTCCTAGCCATAATGCAACATAATTTTTTATGGTATATTGGAGAAGAAAATACAAACAGCTTCTTTGCAACATTTATTTCATTTCAACTTTCTTCTGTTCCTTTTAGTTTTAGGATTTTTTCTTAATGTACAAAATTTGAAATAAATTACAAGGAACGAAATAACTAACAACACAACAGAAACTACTATAAAGATAAGTGCGACCAAAACATTTCTGTCCGTTTTCAACCATCCAAATAAGGGGGCCGTTAACTTGTCTTCCATCAAATTTGTATACACATTCGGAGCTTTTTTAACATATACTTTGAGGTAATTAGTAACCCAAGACAATTTTAAATCCTTTTGCTCCACTACACATCTCCAGTGCCCCGTATGGGACATATTTAAGGAGTCGAACTGGTGTATATTCACTGCAGCTAAAGTGGTGGTTCCGTGATCAATATAAACTTCATTATTCAAAAACAGTTTCAAGCTGAGATCAGTATAAATATACCCCAAAATAACGGAATTGCAGTTTAAAATTAGTGATCGCGTTGCTCTGGTATCATAATCGTAANTTTGTGTATTTAAATTACTTTTAAAAGGTTTTAAATACTTTTTAAAATACAAAATACTTTATTAAAGTATTTGAAGTACAAAATATTTTTGGGGTTATAACAAAAATATTTTAATTACAAAATACTATTTTATATTTAAAATACTATTTGATATATTTTTTTTTGTTTAAATACTCTCAGCTCTGGTTACATATTAAGTTTAAAAATAATATACCAAATTTGTTTCTCAATTGGTGCGTAATAATTTTATTTTACGAGATGTCATTTAAAAAGTAAAATCAAAGCTAATAATGCTAATATATTTAAAATTTTATTAATACCGTCTTATTATTTTATGAAAAATGCAAGATTTGTGCTGTTAATAAAGGTTATTCTGCACTTTTCAGTTATATGTGAAACAAACTACATATATCTATTCTCTGAGAAATTATAATAGACCCATAAAACAGTCTATTCTTTTTTAATAGGTTGACTTGTTCAAGGTCATATTTCTCTGTACCCCCTTTCATAGTACCTATATTAGTAGGTCACTCTCTGCTAGTGAGTAGAAAGCATTGTTTTGTACCAGTAGGCACTAAGTGGCAATGACATTTAATATATGACATATTCTTTGTAGGTTATATCTCACCTATACTAATATTTAACAATTTTTATGCACAATTTACTTATTAACTTATAGATAATTAAACAAAAATAATCGATGCAACACTAAATAAATTATACATACCAAGTGCCATAAAGCTGCTGCCAAGTTACTAGCAGCTTCTATTAAGTCGACAGTTTTCATGATTCCACGATTTGCCTGTAAATATTGATCTAAGGGACCCAGTCGGAAATATTCCAAAACCATGGAAATACTGCTGGTAAAAGCTATTCCGTAAAGTCTAACTATTGCACTAGACTGCAGAAAGGCCCATTGTCCAGCAAGTGTTAGAAACTCCTACAAAGGCAATTTCGTTTTCAAGAAAATTGTAATTGTTTTTTTGTAGAAACTTTTAGTTTAAAAAATCAAACCGAAATAATTTACAAATGTTACCTTTAAATAATTATCAGGATTTTCTTGCTTCAACATCTTCATGGCCACCTCAATTTTCTTTCCTTTAGTGACCTTCCACATACTCCTAAAAACCACCGTTTTACCGCCAAAACCTTCTTTTCTCTGCCCTAGAAAGAAATAAAATAAGATATTCCTAGCCATAATGCAACATAATTTTTTATGGTATATTGGAGAAGAAAATACAAACAGCTTCTTTGCAACATTTATTTCATTTCAACTTTCTTCTGTTCCTTTTAGTTTTAGGATTTTTTCTTAATGTACAAAATTTGAAATAAATTACAAGGAACGAAATAACTAACAACACAACAGAAACTACTATAAAGATAAGTGCGACCAAAACATTTCTGTCCGTTTTCAACCATCCAAATAAGGGGGCCGTTAACTTGTCTTCCATCAAATTTGTATACACATTCGGAGCTTTTTTAACATTCACTTTGAGGTAATTAGTAACCCAAGACAATTTTAAATCCTTTTGCTCCACTACACATCTCCAGTGCCCCGTGTGGGACATATTTAGGGAGTCGAACTGGTGTATATTGACTGCAGCTAAAGTGGTGGTTCCATGATCAATATAAACTTCATTATTCAAAAACAGTTTCAAGCTGAGGTCAGTATAAATATACCCCAAAATAACGGAATTGCAGTTTAAAATTAGTGATCGCGTTGCTCTGGTATCATAATCGTAATTCTTCGAGATAACAGCTACGGATATGACGTGCAAAACTACCCTTTTCTTGTTTATTCTAAACAGCATGCACACATAAATTCCGGCATCTTTTATATTAGCATTTTCTATTAAGATGTTATCGCCCTTGAATATTACATGGTTCGGGTCTTGTTTTATAAAAATTCCATTTAACGTCCACTCGTAATAAGCATTAGGGGACTCCTTTGAAACAATTTTTAACAACTGTCGATTGTTTTTCAACAGCAACGAACTGCCTAAAAATACTTCCTTGTTAATATTTAAAGAAATTTGTGACGAGTTATATACCTTCATCGATTACATAGCTGTAATTATCTTTCTGCAAGTAATCTTGAATTTTTTCCAAAGTTTGGGGACTTAGGTCCCCACACGGAAAATCGTTACATTTCCCGGTGGATGTAGGTGAACCTTGGCAAAGTTTCCCAAAAATATTTGGATGAGGATTTGAACATTTTCTCGTACGATAACCCTCTCCGCCACCGCATGTAACCGTACAAGTCCAGGGTGACCAAGCAGACCAGCCTCCGTCTCTTGGGGAACCGTCTAAGTCCAACGGTTCGCAATTCGCACTCCATGTCACCCACCCGGATTCTGCGGCAACGGTAAACCAGTATATCACTAATGGTTTTTGACTTTTGTATTCAAGGACAGTTTGATTGTCCTTTTGAATGATAAATGCGGATTCGTTGAATGATACAAGATACATTGTCCATGAATTCGTGGTCATTATGTTTCTTACTGGTGACTTCTGTAGAAGACGTTCAGTTTCATCGACGACATTTGATAAAGCAATAGTACCTACAAGTGAAGAATAAGGTCATTATTTTGTGTACACATTACAGTAAAATGGATAAAAATCATGTACTAGAAAGGCACTTTTTGAAATTAGTGACCTGAACGGTAGAAAAAACAAAAAAGTATATTCTTGACCAATTGAAATGATTTTTTAAAGTATTTTTTGGATTAATAATATTGTGAGAAACAACTAATCTGCAGACTAAAGCCTCGTTCAGCATTGAATTACACTCGCAATATCTAGGACACAGCTAAGATTATTTGTTAGTAAAATCATTAATCTACCAATTTCAAACTGGAAATTTATTAGTATGCCACACTCAAAATATTTTTTAGACACTATTCAATTTCAAGATCTACTGCATCTTGTGCTAGTTTTCTATAACATTTTAGATATTTAGCTAGAACTAAGATATTTTATAGAGTATCCAAAACTTTTTTCTGAATATTGACATTGTCAAATATATAGGGTGTTCCTAAATAAGTGTCACAACGGAAAACTTGAAAAAAGAAATATTTTTTTCCTCTTTCATTTTTCTCTCCGGACTTTTGTTTTCGGGATCGCGGTGGCAAAACTTAAATTTTCTTTTTTAGTTTTTTGCCAATATCTTAGGAACCGTTTGACCTACAGAACTGAGCTTTTGTACACACATTACCACTATTAATAACTACTTTTTCGCACCCTTATCAAATTCATTGGACGTGCCAGTGATGGAGATTTTAAGGTATCGTAAGGTTTTTTCACCCCCTAACCGTTTTCAAGAAAAATGACTTGTTATAAACAAAAACAAATATTTTGCTAACATTTCGAAAATATTTTGTAATTCAAAAAATAGGTAGTAATAATTAACAATTTTAACGAAATTTAACGATAGGATTTTAACTTTTTTTTTTTTATAAATTTGGCGAGTAAAATTTACAAAAACTGTTCAAAAACACGTTCGCGGACTCCAATGCAAGCATTAAATCTTCCAATCATGTTTCTTTCTGCCGCTGCGGCCTCACTCCTATCGGTTAACTCTTTGATAGTATTGACATGGATTTCATAAACGATGCATTTCAAATGTCCCCATCCGGCGGTTTGATTCGTCATTCTCCGGATGTTCTGTTGAAGTACTTGCACTTGCAAAATGTGAGGGTGTCTCGTCATGTTGACACCACATACGTTACAGGAAAAAAGCTAAGTTACCATTGAAAACGACTTACCTTAGAACTGTCAAGAGTATCAAGTTAATTAAATGTCATGCTGCTGAGTGTTAATTTTTAATTATTTAAAATTGTTAAAAGTGTGGTAAAAATTGATGTTTTTACTAATAATGAAT